AAATGGATTTATTTATCATTATAAATGCATACATCGTTGTTATAACTAATTGTTTCTAAAAGGCCCTTCCCTTTTGCTTTGTGTCTTTACAACCCAATATGGTGTGATGACAATGTCTTAAAATCATAAAAAAGGCCTTATGACTTCATGAATGTTAGCTTCGTATACCGGGTTCATTCAGTGGAATACATTACCGAACAGATGTTTATTGGCCTGTGTAAGGTTAAGTCAACAGTAGTTCCTTGGAAAGTCGCTACTTTTATTCTACTTTGAATTACATCATTCCTAACTAGGATGGATGTACTACCCAGTGTCGTGTGTATAGTTGTATTGCTGGTACAGTGTAACCCGGATATAAGAGAAACCCGGATATAAGAGAAACCCGGATATAAGAGACTTCTTCTCCAGTCTCAAATTAGAGCCTGTGTTAATGTATATAAAATAGACCAAATCCGGATATAAGAGAAACCCGGATATAAGAGATTTTCTCCAGTCTCAAATTAGAGCCTGTGTTAATGTATATAAAATAGACCAAATCCGGATATAAGAGAAACCCGGATATAAGAGATTTTCTCCAGTCTCAAATTAGAGCCTGTGTTAATGTATATAAAATAGACCAAATCCGGATATAAGAAAACCCGGATATAAGAGATTTTCTCCAGTCTCAAATTAGAGCCTGTGTTAATGTATATAAAATAGACCAAATCCGGATATAAGAGACTTCTTCTCCGGTCCCGACAACTCTTATATCCGGGTTACACTGTATTTTATATTCAATTTGTCATTTAGCCTAAGGAATATTTCCTAAAGGCAAATAACTGCTGGTTTTAGCAGAAGCAGTTCATTTACGTTTGCCTTTATTCCGCGGCAGTCCCATTGAATCATTCTTGCTAAATCTTTTGGGGCTTTAGCTTAGTATGTGGTTATTTAATTTTCAGAGGTTTTCAGTTTGGAGGTTTGGCCATTTGTTGGTTCTGGCTCGCCACGGCCATTTCTTCCAATTTGTCAAATCGATTTTGAGTAGATATCTGTTCCCATTTCCATTTGGAATATATGGTTTTTGTTTTTCTAATTCTGCTTTTTTTTTGTGGATATAATTTAGTCAATCTAATAGTTTTCGGTGGACGGATAGGAGATCGCTGCGACCTTTGCTTTGTAGATTTTATTTTTTTGTGGATAGTGGTTTCAGTGAGACTTTTCCTTTTATTATTTCACTTCTTTCATTGGCTATCTGTGGCTCAATCTTCACCATCTCCTTGGAGTAGATGTCTTTCGGGTAATTTCGAAACTTGGGCTCAGTCTAAGGTTGCAAACACAAGAACTCTAGCGAAGTCATAACATTTCTTTTTCAGTGTTTGAAATATATCTTGTTTCTTTTTTTTATTTTAGCCGTTCATTATTTTGATGAAGATAAAGTTCCCTGTGTCCTTCATTCACCTCAGATCCCAACATTGAGGTGTGTCACGGGGGAAACGGTCGCTTTGACGGGTCAGAGCTACACAAACCAGTATACTCGCATTCGAGAGACTGAGCAGCCGTTAAATTATTTATTGCACTTCTCAAATAAGTGTACAAACTGGCATGTTCACAACCATGTCTCAGTCTACATGTCTTCGAAACGATTGACCCTCCTTCAACAATTGTATTCTGACGCCTGTAAATTGCATAGAAATAATTATGGTACTTTATGCCGGTTTATATTTGGTTTGGTTTGTTTTACGGCATATCAACTTCAATGGGTCATTTAAAGCCGATAACTTTTTTCATGATAATATTTTTGTTTTGTCAAATTTATTTCTGTAAATATTTTTTCCTCAAAAATGTATAGCTGGTAATATTTTTTCAAAAACGTATTGCTGGTAATAGTTTTTTTTTTTTTTTAAATTTCAATTCTGGTAATAATTTTTTTATAAAGTATTTCTGGTATTAAAACCTGTTTTTACACTTCCATAATGCTTTTTACCTCAATCTGGGGGGGGGTAACTATTTGCCCTTAGCTGGGACCGTAACAGGTACTACCACCCAGGGTCAGAGTGGACCTAGGAATACCAGCAATTGGTTCCACGCTCCTCAATGCCTCCTGATCAGAGGCCTTCCTGTTTGACGTAGTTATCGTCATACCCAGGACGCGGTGTATATTTGGGGTGTTGTATATAGTTATAAAGTACTCTACAAATAGAGATGGTCATGACCAGTCGATTGATCGGGTCGGGCCTCTCCGATCGCTCGTCTAGTCGGAGAGAGAGAGAGAGAGAGAGAGAGAGTCAGTGGTGTGTTCGAATCAGAAGTAACTAACCTTGATTCCTGAAGCTCTCAACTACCGGGATCTCATCCCCAGACATTACGAGTCACCACTCTCGACAAACCATCTGCAGTATTCTGAAGTTCCAGCCGACATGGCGTTGTATTGCTGGAAATTCTTTTGCTAAAAATAAGATGTATTTTTATACTTTCATAGTGTTTGCTTTTTATTTTTTGGGAGCTTGTCCTTAGCTGAGATCTTAACTGATGCTTCTATCCCGGGTTAGCATTAAGAGGATTCCGCGCTCCTCAAAGTCGCCTATCACCCGATCAGAGGCCTTGCTGCCAGATGTAGTTTGTCATCAGACATTGGACGAGATACTGGCAAAAAATAGAGTCTCCAATAAAAATTGGAAAAAAAAAAAAAAAAAAAAAGTGTTTTGTTTTACAGCATATCAACTTCAATGGATTATTTAATGCCGACAAGATTTTATTGCTGGTAATATTTTTTTCAAATGCTTTGTTGTAAGCAATTTATTCTTCAAAAGTGTATTTCTGGTAATAATTTTACCTTCAAAAACTTAATGCTGCTAATGACTTTTTTTTTTTTACAAAATATTTCAGGCATTAAAATCTATTTTTACACTTTCATAGTGTTTTGACCTCAGTTTGAGGGTTCATTATTTGCCCATAGCTGGAACCCTAACAGGTGCTGCCGCCCCAGGTCAGAGGTCTTGCTGTTGGACGTAGTTTATTGTCTTACCCAGGACGCAGATGTAATTTATCGTCATACACAGGACGGTAAAAATCAAGTGAACAACTTGGATCTTCAAACCAAGTTATCTAGGACTGTGAACTATGAGGACACATTCTGCCATAATCCGAGAGAGTTTTCTATGAAGAAAGTGGTGGGAGAATAAAAGTAAATTGACACGACTTAAAATTTAAATCTTGACTAAAATATGAGATATTTTGAATTTTGGAAAATGTCTGCAAACATCGAAAATAAGCTTCATATATACTGAAAGCAAAAACTATATTAAGGGATGTTCTCTTACATTCCAAAATCAAAAGAACTACAAAGGAAATTGAGGCTTGATTTAATTATCTATACAGAGCCACTTGAAAGAGTGTGTGTGTGTGTGTGTGTGTGTGAGAACGTGGACCTACCGCGACGCCTCTAACTTGAAAGGGTGCATATTGCTAGCCTATGAAAACTTGTCACCTCTGGACTGCGAAGAGAATAGTTTCCCTCGGGGCGAACGGGTTGTAACTATAATACCTTATTCTATTTGTAATAAAAATTTTTAAAAAGGCGTCTGATAAAAAAGGACTTTAGCAGAGATTGGGTTTTAGGGGAATTATTGAAACATTATAGAAATAGGTAATAAACATAGCGAGCTTCGTATGAGTAACGAAACAGATCTTTCTCGTAGCAGTGCGAAAATAAGAAATGCCAAAGACTTCAGTTAGCCTAGAGACCCGAGTGTAGCATGTAGTGGAAAAAGTTCGTCTTTGAGAGATACGGCGTTTAAGAAAGAATACTTTTTTTTTTAAAGTAGACAAAAGTTTTGCTTGTTTCTGGCAAAAAGTGGTTTGGTTTACGGCATATAAACCTCAATGGGTTATTTAATGCCGACAAAATTTATATTGCTGGTAATATTTTGTTTTGTCAAAAATCTATTTCTGGTATTTTTTTTTTCCTCAAAAGTGTATAGCTGGTAATTTTTTTTTTTCAAAAACGTATCGCCAGCAATATTTTTTTTTTCAAAAATATATTGCTGGTAATAGTTTTTCCCCCCCCCCCTTCAGAAATTTTTCTCTGGTAATAATTTTATTACAAAGTATTTCTGGTATTAAAACCTATTTTGACACTTTTATAATGCTTTTTACCTCAGTTCGGGAGGGGGTTAAGTATTTACCCATAGCCGGGACCCTAAATGGTGCTACCACCCCGGGTCGGGGCGGACCTGGGAACACCAGCAATTAAGAAATTGTTCTACGCTCCTCAAAACCTCATGATCAGAAGCCTTGCTGATGGACGTAGTTTATCGTCTTACCCAGGACGAGACAAAAAGTGGTACAGTTGGAAAAAAAACTAAGACAAGAAAACGAAGGTTACATGCTCATTTACGTATTTCAAGGCCTATATATATATATATATATATATATATATATATATATATATATATGGCGTTAGTGTGGTTCGGAAAGTAAATAGACGATAGAAGGATAGTATACGGTTAAAAAGAGACTAACCCATCTATCATCCTTAGTACAACAGACTGAAGAATTGCAACTGAATCCAGAAAGAGTTACAAGTTCAGTTAAAATTTACCTTATCAAAGATGTTTGCGAAAATTCAACTTCCGGGCAAACTTTAAAATTCGAAATGCTTAGTAAATCTGCATGATAGAAATTTGAACATGGCAAAATTTAAAAAAAAAAAAAAAGGGGGGTCCGTAATCGTGGAACAGACTCGATCAAGTCTTAGTGATCTAGGCTCTACTATTATCAAAATACTTATGACAGTCAAACATGGTTTGTAGGTTGGGTGATTTTATTTAGAGGCACAAACATATTTAATTTTATTTAATGCCGAAATCTAAATATTTTATACGCAAAATTATATTTTGACAAGGATTTACTGATAGTCTTTGCGTGTAATTGAGTAAAAAGGAACCCGACTAGAATTGGAACTCTGCTCTCCGATTAACAATCCCGAATCATTATCCATTACACCACCCGTCCACCCAAGTTTACAGCACCTGATATTTCAAAGTGGTCACCCATCTAAGTATTTACCAGGCTCGACATTCCTTAACTTCGGTGATCGTACGGGAACCGATGTTTTAGCGTGATGCGGCCCTAAACCTCTTGCTGGTACGTTTGTTTAGCGGTATATCAGCGACTTATGGGTTATTTAATACCGAAAATTAAGTTTCTTGAGAGCATTAGTAATCTTTTATTTTTTTATGTATTGCTAGTAAGTTTTACTAGCAAAATGTATTGCAGGCATTTTTACTATAAAGTTATATTTTTATGCTTTCATGGTGTTTTGAAATCAGATTGAGGTTTAGCTTTTGCCCACAGCATTGACCATAACAGGATAACATCCCTAACACCAGCAATTAAGAGGTGCTTCCACGTTCCTCAAAACCTTCCGGATCAGAGGGGTTGCTACCAAATGTAGTTGGTCATCAGACCCAGAATGACTTGCTGGTATCAGATTTCTCTATCGATAATGTCAATTGGTCATAGACCAAATATTTGCGCATGTAGTATAGTACAGAATTGGTTATAGAGTTAATGGATATAAGGATTTACTACTGTCAATTACTAAGGCGGTTCTTCAGCATTGACCAAGTTCTTAAAGTTAACTGCACTCTAGTAGATTAAAATGAAAATTAGTTGAAATTTTACGGTTCAATTTGAACAAATCTTTACATGATAGGGCATTTTAATGGCAGCAAAATATTGAGGCTGACTGAAAGAATCTTTAAAAAGATTTAAACGACTTTTTTTTTTTTTTTTTTTTACTTCCTAATGAATGAATTACGGACAACAGATCGCATTGTATTTTTACATGGAAAACAATTAAATGTAACAATAGTTTGGCTTGTTTACGGAATGTTAACCTGGAACACCAGAATTTAAGAGGTGTTTCCACGTTCCTCAAAACATTTTGATCAGAGGCATTGCTGTTGGATGTCTTACCCAGGACGCTGTAAAAAAAAAAAAAAAAAAAAAAATAGTATGTTAAATATGGCGATAAGCATATCTAAAACGAGTTTATAAAAATAGGAATGTCTTGGAAATAATTCTTATTTTGCATCTCTAAAATATTTCTAGAGACGTATTGAAGAAATAGTTAAGATTAAATCTTAAAGAGGGAGGGAGGTTTACACACTCAAGTGGAATAACTGTAGATATTTAATTGACCTTCCACCGAGTCAGGTTGTGACACAAGGTCACTTTTTAACGCGAGGACCAGAGTGTTTTCACTCGGGCCACTGGTCTTGGCTTGTCATAGCTGGTCCAACCTGGCCAGAGCCGATCCAAGCGGTGATACTACGGACCCCTGCGCCCGGTATGGATATACCACTCAAGAGAGTGGTTTTTACCCACTTAAGTGGAATAACTGTAAAAGACAGAGTTAACTACGGCTAGCAGTTTTATATTAGAAGATTCCAAAGTGCCCGGATGATTAAAAAGTAGTTGCAACTTAACACCTGTGAAAATTGTTTTTTCTTTCTTTTTTAATTTATCATGTGACGAGTTTTCATTAAAATAATTAAACCAGAACCTCTGCGAAAAAAGAATTGGGGGGGATAAATAAGTGTCTCCACAGTCTCGAGCTAGAATGAGCTCCTTGTGGGTGACACGTCCTAAACGGGAAATGACGAAAGAGTTTGAGCAATATTTTGTAAAAGTGTGACTCACTTTAAACTCGGCCTCCTGTCATATTCTGTTCGTGTGAACGTACGCTAAGATCCCGATAAAAGATTACTGTAAAACAAACTATATTAACCCCTTTTTATGAATGAAATCTTTCTTTCTCCCAGAATCGAGCACCAACATACTCAGATGTCCCTCCTCGATTCTGTCCAACTACGATAATATTATGTAAAGTTGCTAAGGAACCAATTTCTTTTGACAGAACGACGCACTCGCTTTCTCTCAAATTGAAGTCCTAAATGCCAGACAAAAAAAAAAATGTATCCCCCAAAACTTTACACCAAGCTGAAGAAACAAACACTGGTTTGATGTAAAGAAATAATTAGTCTATGTAAAGCAGCAATTTGAAAATAGCTAACTGCCAGCCAACCTTGTCAACTATAAACTAAATACAGTAATTAGTCCTAAAAAGGACTTGGCAAAAATGTCAAGCTACAAAACCAAAAAAGGCTTGAAAAATCACGAGAAAAAATAAATAAATAAAAAAATAGAGGGTAAACATTAATGTATACCAGCAAAAACATCTCAATAAACAATAGCACAAAGATAAAAAGGCTATAACAATCATATTGATCAAAACGTTCTCCAAAGATTTTAGACAATCCCAAACTATAAAAGAAAATGCAAAAAAAGTACAAATTAAACTTGAAAATGAAAAACCTGAGAGATTATAACAAACCATTCTCGCAGAACTAGAAGACTCCATTAAAAATTTCATATAATTCAGACGTAGTAACAGACAATGTCCACTATGAATTATTAAAACAACTACCAAAATAGTCTTTAAAATTATTAAAAATATATAATTATATCTGGACAAAGGATAATTTCCCTGAACATTGATTGGTTGTTTTATGGCATATCAACATCAGTGAGTCATTTAATGCCAACAAGTTTTTTTAAATAGATTTATAGTGATAGTTTGGTTTAAAAAAAAAAAAAAAAAAAAAAAAAATTGTATGTATACATATATATAATTGAACCACTTTTCAATTACTCATATTTCTGAGTACAATCCAACTACTTTTAGGAAAATTACAATCTTGGATGATTTTATTTTCATAAAGTTTTTTTTTTTTTTTTTCTTCACTTATTGTAGATTTTGATCTAGTGTGAACAAAATATTACAAACAGTACATGTTTCACTATAAATTTTAATTAATGCTGATAATTTTTCCTTCAAAAATTATTGCTGGTAATAATTTTCTTTATTACAAAGTATTTCTGGTATTAATACCTATTTTTACACAAGTTTTGATGTTAACTATTTGTCCATAGCTGGGACCCTAACACTCCCTTGAACATTGGTGACAAAGTATTTTATCCATTCCTAAACCAGTAAAAGACTGGAATTTATAGACCACTTTTTCTCACAAACTGTTTATGGAAAAGCTGGGGAAAATGGTGAATAATCGCTTAGTTTGATACTCTCAATCCAAAAAATGAATTTTTGCAAAAACAAGAGTACATTGGTCACCTGGAAAGCATATCTAAGAAAAAAAAAAAATCATGTAGCTATTGTATTCTTAGTTTTGTAAGCCTTTTTCCAAGTCAATATGATCATGTGAAATCTACACGAGATTAGACTGAAATCTAAGCTACCAGAATTCATTAAGAATTTTCTTTTGAATAGAACTTTTCAGGTCTGCATTGCATCTAGTCCGATTTAAAAACCTAAGGAGTGTCCCAAGAAAGTATATTATTAGTCACTGTGTTCACTATTAAAATAATATTGCTAAAGAACTTTGAAGGTATAAATGGATCTTTGTACCTAAATGACTTTCCTGCAAGTTACTGATGCAAAAATAGGAAAGAATCTGCAGCAATGCAGAAATAATAACAGAGGGGCAATAATTTTTAAAAGTCAAAACAAAATGCTTGAATTTTTGTAAAATACAGTAAAATGTTACAACTCTTGAGAATGGTGAGTCATAAAAATTGGGGAGACGACTGACAAATGCTGGTCAAATTATATGAGCTCAAACTGAAAATTAGGCTATGCCTGAATTCATCAAAACCGTTCGAATATAACTTTTCAGGTCCGGATAGTATTTCCTCTGTTGGATCCAAAACTCCAAGAAGAGGGAGTGTTAGAAGGGAGTATATTGTCAGTCACTGTTCGATATTAAAATAAATAATATTGCACAAGAACTTATTCAAGATATAAATGAATCTTTATATATAGATAACTTTACTGTAAGTTACCAATCCCAAAATATGGATACCATAGGATTAGTTTGGTTTGTTTTACAGCATATCAACCTCAATGGGTCATTTAATGCTGACAACTTTTTTTTTTCTTGGTAATATTTTTCTTTTGTCAAAAAAACGTATTGCTTGTAATATTTTATAATGCTTTTTTACCTCAGTTTCAGGGTTAACTATTTGACTATAGCTGGGACCTTAACAGGTGCTACCACCCCGGGTCAAGGTGGACCTGGGAACACCAGCAATTTAGAGGTGGTTTCATGCTCCTCAAAACCTCCTGATCAGAGGCATTGCTGCTGGATGTAGTTTATCATCATACCCAGGACAGGTATAGCATAGGAAGAAATCTGCAGTAATGCAGACATGACATTAGCGGATTGGGCTATAAATAACAGTTTTACATTTAAAACTTAAAAGCAAATGCATGAATTTTTGTAATAAAAAGAAACTGCAAAGACCCTTCAAGTCCCAATCCAAGATTGCAACTTGAAGGGACAGAAATCCAAATAGTAAATGAGTAAAAGTTCTTGGGAATAATTCTTGACAAGAAACTATTGTTAATGCCATAAATAAAATATTTGAGAACAAAAATTCAAACATTACAACTCTTGAGGGTAGTGACCAGCAAATGCTGCTCAGATGATACAAAATCTTAATTAGATCCAAGCTGGATTATGAAAACTTCATATACAGATAAGCAAGGGAACCATATCTTGAAATTCTAAAATCAAACTTACCATAAAAGGTAAGAAGCTGGTGCTTGGAGCATTTAGAATACATGTAGAATGAAACAAACATCTGCCAAAATTTAAATAAAATTTGCCCTACAATATTATATAATAAACAAGCCTCTCTAATCCAGAATACTGTTCCAACAAAGAGAGACAGCTATAAAAAAAAAAAAAAAAAAAAACACCATGGAACCCATCATTCAAGAATCAGAAATACCTCTATCTAGAATCCATAATACAGTCCTACCAAATATACCACCCTGGACGAGAAGAATAATGGAAACGAATCTTAAACTCCAAACAGCATAAAACAAATACACATCCATTTATATTCCAAGAGGAATTTAAAAAATAATTTATCTCACACTCAAGTCTTCAGATGGATCAAAATACAATGATGAAACAGGATATCCAGCAGTGTATAAACAGAAAATAAAAACTCCAATTTTCAATGCAGAGGT